CAGGAAGCACCCGTGCTAAGGACTATTCAATGCTGGTCTGACCAATCGGAATCCACACTTCAAGATTGTTTTGATCACGCGGACTGGGATATGTTCCGAGTAGCCTCTGAGAATAATATAGACGTATACGCTGATTTAGTGAGTGGGTTTATAAGGAAGTGTATAGGAGATGTCGTACCCACTGTGACTATGAAAACCTACCCTAACCAGAAACCGTGGATAGAGGGCAGCATTCGCAAAAAAACTGAAAGCACGAACCACTGCATTTCACCATGGCAAGGTGACAGGGAATATGGCAGAATACAAACAGAGTGGTCGTTCCCTCCACAAGGCAATCAAACAGGCAAAATGTCAATATCGAGACAAAGTGGAGTCGCAATTCAACGGTTCAGACACGAGACGTATGTGGCAGGGTTTACATACAATCACGGACTACAATAGAAAAACCAGCCACGCTTGCTGCCAGACAAGCTAAACAAGTTCTTTGCCCGCTTTGAGGATAACAAAGTGCCAACGACGCAGCCAGCTACCAAGAACTGTGGGCTCTCCTTCTCCGTGGCCGACGTGAGTAAGACATTTAAACGTGTTAACCCTCGCAAGGCTGCCGGCCCAGACGGCATTCCTAGCCGCATCCTCAGAGCATGTGCAGACAAGCTGGCTGGTGTGTTTACGGACATATTCAATACCTCCCTATCCCAGTCTGCTGTCCCCACATGCTTCAAGATGGCCACCATTGTTCCTGACCCAAGAATGCAAAGGTAACTGAACTAAATGACTATCGCCCCGTAGCACTCACTTCTGTCATCATGAAGTGCTGTGAGAGACTAGTCAAGTATCATATCACCTCTACCTTACCTGTCACCCTAGACCCACTTCAATTTGCTTACTGCCCCAATAGATCCACAGACGATGCAATCGCCATCACACTGCACACTGCCCTATCCCATCTGGACAAGAGGAATACCTATGTAAGAATTATGTTCATTGACTACAGCTCAGTATTCAACACCATAGTACCCTCCAAGCTCATCATTCAGCTCAAGGCCCTGGGTCTGAACCCCGCCCTGTGCAACTGGGTCCTGGACTTCCTGATGGGCCGCCCCCAGGTGGTGAAGGTAGGAAACAGAATCTACACTTCGCTGATCCTCATCACTGTTCACCCATGACTGCGTGGCCAAGCACGCCTCCAACTCAATCATCAAGTTTACAGACGACACAACAGTAGTAGGCTTGATTATCAACAATGACGAGACCGCCTACAGGGAGGAGGTGGGGTCTCTGGGAGTGTGGTGCCAGAAAAATAACCTCTCACTCAACATTAAACAAAACAAAGGAGATGACCGTGGACTTCAGGAAACAGCAGAGGGTGCACCCCCCTATCCACATTGACGGACCGCAGTGGAGAAGGTGGAAAGCTTCAAGTTCCTTGGCGTAAACATCACTGACAAACTGAAATGGTCCACCCACACAGACAGTGTGGTGAAGAAGGCGCAACAGCGTCTCTTCAACCTCAGGAGGCTGAAGGAAATTGGCCTGTCACCTAAAACCCACACAAACCTTCATAGATGCACAATTGAGAGCATCCTGTCGGTCTGTATCACCGCCTGGTATGGCAACTGCACTGCCCACAACCGCAGGGCTCTCCAGAGGGTGGTGCGGTCTGCACAACGCATCACCGGGGGCAAACTACCTGCCCTCCAGGACACCTACAGCACCTGATGTCACAGGAAGGCCAAAAAGATAATCAAGGACATCAACCACCCGAGCCACTGCCTGTTCACCCCGCTATCATCCAGAATGCGAGGTCAGTACAGGTGCATCAAAGCTGGGACCGAGAGAATGAAAAACAGCTTCTATCTCAAGGCCATCAGACTGTTAAACAGCCATCACTAGCACAGAGGCGCTGCTGCCTACATACAGACTTGAAAATCACTGGCTACTTGAATAAATGGAACACTAGTCACTTTAATAATGCCACTTGAATAATGTGTACATATCTTGTATTACTCGTCTCATATGTATATACTTTATTCTATGCTATCGTAATAATGTTTGCATATCTTGCATTACCCATCTCATATGTACAGTTGAAGTCGGAAGTTTGGTTAGGTTGGAGTCATTAAAACTCGTTTTTCAACCACTCCACAAATATATTTTTAACGAACTATAGTTTTGGCAAGTCGGTTAGGACATCTACTTTGTGCATGACACAAGTAATTTTTCCAACAATTGTTTACAGACAGATTATTGCACTTATAATTCACTGTATCACAATTCCAGTGGGTCAGAAGTTTACATACACTAAATTGACTGTGCCTTTAAACAGCTTGGAAAATTCCAGAAAATGATGTCATGGCTTTAGAAGCTTCTGATAGGCTAATTGACATCATTTGAGTCAATTGGAGGTGTACCTGTGGATGTATTTCGAGGCCTAACTTCAAACTCAGTGCCTCTTTGCTTGACATCATGGGAAAATCTAAAGAAATCAGCCAAGACCTCAGAAAAAAAATTGTAGACCTCCACAAGTCTGGTTCATGCTTGGGAGAAATTTCCAAACGCCTGAAGGTACCACGTTCATCTGTACAAACAATAGTATGCAAGTATAAACACCATGGGACCACGCAGCCGTCATACCGCTCAGGAAGGAGACGCGTTCTGTCTCCTAGAGATGAACGTACTTTGGTGTGAAAAGTGCAAATCAATCCCAGAACAACAGTAAAGGACCTTGTGAAGATGCTGGAGGAAACAGGTACAAAAGTATCTCTATATCCACAGTAAAATGAGTCCTATATCGACATAACCTGAAAGGCCGCTCAGCAAGGAAGAAGCCACTGCTCAAAAACCGCCATAAAAAAGCCAGACTATGGTTTGCAACTGCACATGGGGACAAAGATTGTACTTTTTGGAGAAATGTCCTCTGGTCTGATGAAACAAAAATAGAACTGTTTGGCCATAATGACCATCGTTATATTTGGAGGAAAAAGGGGGTTGCTTGCAAGCCGAAGAACACCATCCCAACCGTTAAGCACGTTGGTGGCAGCATCATGCTGTGGGGGTGCTTTGCTGCAGGAGGGACTGGTGCACTTCACAAAATAGATGGCATCATGAGGAAGGAAAATTATGTGGATATATTGAAGTAACATCTCAAGACATCAGTCAGGAAGTTAAAGCTTGGTCGCAAATGGATCTTTTAAATGGACAATGACCCCAAGCATACTTCCAAAGTTGTGGCAAAATGTCTCAAGGACAACAAAGTCAAGGTATTGGAGTGGCCATCACAAAGCCCTGACCTCAATCCTATAGAAAATGTGTGGGCAAAACTGAAAAAGCGTGTGCGAGCAAGGAGGTCTAGAATCCTGACTCAGTTACACCAGCTCTGTCAGGAGGAATGGGCCAAAATTCACCAAAACGTATTGTAGGAAGCTTGTGGAAGGCTACCCGAAACATTTGACCCAAGTTAAACAATTTAAAGGCAATGCTACCAAATACTAATTGAGTGTATGTAAACTTCTGACCCACTGGGAATGTGATGAAAGAAATAAAAGCTGAAATAAATCATTCTCTCTATCTACTATTATTCTGACATTTCACATTCTTAAAATAAAGTGGTGATCCTAACTGACCTAAGACAGGGAATTTTTACTAGGATTAAATGTCAGGAATTGTGATTTTTTTTAAACTAAGTTTAAATGTATTTGGCTAAGGTGTATGTTCACTTCCGACTTCAACTCTACCTCTTATGAAAACTCAGAGTTCTTAGAGCCAGAGCTCTTCTGGTGTTTTGTTTGGAGTTCCTTTAGAGAATAGACAAGTGATTGCTCTTTTGTGTTTTTTTACAGGCATCCTGGAGCCGACTCAAAGAAAATGGTAGTGTAAAGTTTCCCGGGGAAGGGATCATATCAAGAGCCAGTGACTTACATGTACTTATTCAGCCGGGGTGTAGCGACTGAATGACCACCCGTGAGAACCCGCTCCCCTCTATCACCACAGAAACAGAAACATGGAATGGTGAGAGTGCAGAATTCCCCACAGCACCTCTTACCAAAGACCACTCCTGAAGAGTGTGCCATTCAACCAGCTGGGATAAACCAGACACAACAGGGCAACGCCCAACCACTCCAGGTCCAATTCCTTCCAACAGGACATTCTAATCAAGAAAAAGGAATGTTCTCCCTTGGCCAGGTTCCTTGTATTTGAATGAGACCCAGAAACCTTGCCCTGATTTAAATGGAATAAAAAGAACCACCTGCAAACAGATGGGCAATAAGATGTGAGTTTATTTGTGAATGAATATGGAATGTTACGCATTTGGCTGCCAAGAATTAATCCATGGATGAGGGCGTTTCAGCCTAAGGACACAAATTGCTTCAGTGCCCTTGTTGGTCAGTGGAGAGTAAAAACTACCAAAGCTGGGCTTTATAATTAGAAATCCATGAGAAACAGAGCAACATGAGAACTGAGAGACTCAAGGACTCTGATTTAGTTTAGGTTAACCCTCTCTATGTCGCATGTGGACCATGAGATTGGAGAATAACACTTTACAGACATTACATTCTCTCCTGTCTCTTCAGAGCTGCACCTATACAAAAAATGAGGATCTATCATGCTCCCATTGCTCCTTCATCACTCCTTTTGACCCATTTATCAAAGGAATATAATGGAGGTCAATGACACTTTAGCGACTAACACCCGAAAATCAGAAGTGAACTTTAGGGTTCCATAGTGAGAAGAATTCTGCTCTATCCATCCTTTTTGACCCAATTATGAAAGGAGTTTAACAGAGATCCATGATACATCACACTAAAGCAACACTTTGGCGTTAACAGAGAGCCAGCTAAGAGCATTGAGAAGAGTACTATATTCTACAATGGGACTGAGAGACTCACAGCAGTAGCTATGGCAGACTGAACTGAATAGAAAAACATACACACCAAGTCATATCTTAGTTCCAAGGGGCCTAGGAGAGGCAAAAACTGAGGTAAACTGGTAAAATGGAAAACATGGCCACCAACATGACCGGTGACTACCCAGCATACCCCACCGGCCTCCCCTACAACTCCAGCCTAGACTATGAGGATTACGACCAGGAACTCGATGCCAGTAATATCATCATCCCCTCCATCTACGCCCTGGTCTGCTGTGTGGGTCTTACAGGCAATGCCATGGTCATCTATGTGATCCTCAAATACGCCAAGATGAAAACTGCCACCAATATTTATATATTAAATCTGGCAATTGCAGATGAACTGTTTATGTTGAGTGTTCCGTTCTTGGCGACATCGGCGGCTGTACGTCATTGGCCGTTCGGCTCACTCATGTGCCGTCTGGTGTTGAGCGTGGACGGCATAAACATGTTTACATCTATCTTCTGTCTGACGGTGTTGAGCGTGGATCGATATGTGGCCGTGGTTCACCCTATCAAGGCTGATTACATTCTCTCCTGTCTCTTCAGAGCTGCACCAACTGAGTTTAAAGGTATTTGGCTAAGGTGTATGTAAACTTCCGACTTCAACTGTATATACGGTATTCTATACTATGTATTGCATCTTAGCCTATGCCGCTCTGACAATGACATTGCTCATCCATATATTTATATTTATATTTATATATTCTTATTCCATTCCTTTATTTAGATTTGTGTGTATTAGATATTTGTTGTGGAACTATTAGATATTACGTGCTAGATATTACTGCACTGTCGGAACTAGAAGAACAAGCATTTCGCTACACTCACAATAACATGTGCTAACCATGTGCATGTGACCAATACATTTTATTTTTGATTTGATTTGATTTATTTAGTAATGAATCCGCTGATAGGAACATCGCTGAAAGATGTCCAATGGCTCTATCGAACAAGGACAACCATATCTACACGCACAAAAACGTATAGTGTGATCAGTATAACATAGAGCCTTCACGAAATGCCACAATGCTGGACTACATTTATTTTTAGATCTCGGCCCTCCCCATCAATACACCGGAAGCTGTCATAGGGTGTATCATTCAGCACGCGAAGCCCAGACCTGACTTCCTCCTGGGCAATTATGTATGAAACACATATCACTGTCCTATAAATGCCTCGGACATGATGAAAGCAAGCCCAAATTCCCCCAGGGTGAAATTCCCCTTTAAGTTGAAGTTTTACCATAATTTCAATGTTTACAACGCTGGTTAAAATTAGATGAAAACAGTACTGGTTGATGACTTTTGTGTTTTCCACGTAGATTCCACATCACAATAGGTTGACAAATGATGTTGAAACAACGTTGATTCAACCAGTGTGTACCCAGTGGGAGGAGAGAGAGCGAGAGAGAGAGAGAGAGAGAGAGATTTAGAGAGAGAGAGCAAGAGACAGAGCGAGAGAGAGAGAGAGCGAGAGTATCCCTTTAGAAAGACAGACATACAATTGTCCCTGGACCAGAAAGGGATTATATCCACAGAGTGAGACCTTGGCAGACCTTAACTGACCTTAATTTGAGGCTGCTTGTGACAAACTTTTTCCTTTCCCCCAATAACCTCGAACCATCTTAGAACATGACTGTGCTGGGTTATAGCCAACTATTTATACCCAGCACTATCCTTTCCTAAATTGGTTCTAGGTTATTGAAAGGTTAAGGAAAGTTAGTCCCGAGCAGCTATGCCTGTATATTCTGGTGTAATATAGGATAACAAACCCCCTGTCACGATCGTCTGAAGGAGGAGACCAATGCGCAGCGTTGTGAGTGAACATGATGACTTTATTTATCAAAGCGACCACGAAAAAACAACAAAAGACGATACGTGAAGTTCTCTATGACACCGACTGAACATAGCACAAGGAAACACGACTAGTGAAGTCCACAGTCAACCTGACTGAAAACGGAAACAATAACCCACAATGCCCACAGGAAAACATGCAGTATAAATATGGCTCCCAATCAGAGATAACGAGCCGACAGCTGACACTCGTTACCTCCGATTGGGAGTCAATGACCAAACCTAGAAATAAACGTGACAGAAATGCAAACATAGAAAATCACCCAAAACCCAACAAAACACAATACACCCTGGCTCAAATACAAAAGTCCCGGAGCCAGAGTGTTACAGTACCCCCCCCTAAAGGTGCGCACTCCGGGCGCACCAGCATACAGTCTCGGGGAGGGTCTGGGTGGGCGTCTGTCCACGGTGGCGGTTCTGGCCCTGGTCGTGGTCCCCACCCCACCTTAGTCACCACCCGCTTCCCTAGCCTCCTCCACATGACCACCCCCCAATTAAACCCCACTGGATTAAGGGGCGGCACCGGACTAAGGGACAGTACCTGACTAAGGGGCGGATCCTGGCTGGCTGGCTCTGGCGGATCCTGGCTGGACGGCTCATGGCAGGCTGAAGGATCTGGCTGCTCATGGCTGGCTGACGGATCTGGCTGCTCATGGCTGGCTGACGGATCTGGCTGCTCATGGCTGGCCGACGGATCTGGCTGCTCATGGCTGGCCGACGGATCTGGCTGCTCATGGCTGGCCGACGGATCTGGCTGCTCATGGCTGGCGGAAGGCTCTGGCTGATCCTGTCTGGCAGAAGGCTCTGGCTGATCCTGTCTGGCAGAAGGCTCTGGCTGATCCTGTCTGGCAGAAGGCTCTGGCTGATCCTGTCTGGCGGAAGGCTCTGGCTGATCCTGTCTGGCGGAAGGCTCTAGCGGCTCTGGTCTGGCGGACGGCTCTGATGGCTCATGGCAGACGGGCGGCTTTGCAGGCTTTAGGCAGACGGGCAGTTCAGGCCCCGTTGGGCAGACGGCAGACTCTGGCCGTCTGAGGCGCACCGTAGACTTAGTGCGGGTGGCCGGAACAGGCCGGACCGGGCTGGCGACGCGCACCGTAGTCTTGGTGCGGGTGGCAGGAACAGGCCGGGTCGGGCTGGCGACGCGCACCGTAGTCTTGGTGCGGGTGGCAGGAACAGGCCGGGTCGGGCTGGCGACGCGCACCGTAGTCTTGGTGCGGGTGGCAGGAACAGGCCGGACCGGGCTGGCGACGCGCACCGTAGACTTGGTGCGGGTGGCAGGAACAGGCCGGACCGGGCTGGCGACGCACACCGTAGACCTGGTGCGGGTGGCAGGAACAGGCCGGACCGGGCTGTGGAGACGGATAGGAGGCCTGGAGCGAACAGCGGACACCACCCGTCCTGGCTGAATGCCTACCCTCACACACTCTGTGTGAGGCATCCGCACAGGACATACAGGGCGGTGTACCCCTGGCCTGGTGGCCTCCTGGATACTCCCCCTTTTCTCCTCCGTCAGCCCTGTCGTCCATGCCGTGTGCCCCCCCCTAAAAATTTTCTGGGGTTGATACACGACCCTCCGACGATGGCCCTGCTGCCGCCGTTGCTCCTCTCTCGCCAGGGCCTTGATCCTTCCCCAAGGTCCCTTGCCTCCGAGCATGTCCTCCCAGGACCACGATGTGCCCACCTGGGCCATCGCCAGCCTCTCCATCTCCTTGCCCGGTGCCTCCTCCCATGTCCAGTCTCCCTGCTCCTGGACACGCTGCTTGGTCTTTCTTTGGTGGGTTATTCTGTCACGATCGTCTGAAGGAGGAGACCAATGCGCAGCGTTGTGAGTGAACATGATGACTTTATTTATCAAAGCGACCACGAAAAAACAACAAAAGACGATACGTGAAGTTCTCTATGACACCGACTGAACATAGCACAAGGAAACACGACTAGTGAAGTCCACAGTCAACCTGACTGAAAACGGAAACAATAACCCACAATGCCCACAGGAAAACATGCAGTATAAATATGGCTCCCAATCAGAGATAACGAGCCGACAGCTGACACTCGTTACCTCCGATTGGGAGTCAATGACCAAACCTAGAAATAAACGTGACAGAAATGCAAACATAGAAAATCACCCAAAACCCAACAAAACACAATACACCCTGGCTCAAATACAAAAGTCCCGGAGCCAGAGTGTTACACCCCCTAAGGTAGCTGTGGGGAAGAGTGTTGGAAAATATAGCTTGTTATTAGTACACAGCTGAAGTAGGGGCACTGTTTTTCGATTTCCCTGTAGAGTAAAAGAGTCAACAATAAAAAAAAATGTATGTGCACTGTGAATCAATATATAGCTGTTTCGACTAATTATTATTAATTAACTGGTTCCACAGCCTTTTCTTTGTTTACTCCGATTTCCGGTCCAAGTGTTACCTGAACGTAACATTTTTAGTTGGCCCAAACGTGAGAAAACCTTGACAAAAATTCAGTGAACTTAAAATTATGTGTTTGCTCATCTTGTCTCATAATGTTCATTCAACTGTACATTATGATTTGGCCGTCTTAACTAAGAAAGGCTGTGCAACTGGTTACACACACAATTATTACTTATAACATACAATGTTTTCAACATATTTGAAACACGTTGACATGCATGATTACATTGTGTAAATTAATTTATACAGTAATTATTACGGAACATGTCCTCACCTAGGATTTGAACTCACAACCCCTTGGTTCACTGCATTCAGATCTTCCTGCTACACCACCAGCTCTGTGTCAATTATCAGTTAATCTGACTAATCTCTCATCATTGATTTGATTTACTTATTTCAGTAATTTTAGGGTTTTCTGTATAGTTAGTTGTTTAATGTTGGTGGGGCATACAGTATTACTCTGTTTTAATGTTACTCCTTAATCACTATAATAAATAAAATAGCTTTTCTTGAGTGTAGTTTTAACAGAGCTGAGATTTACTTTGAAGTGCAAAGTGTATCAATACAAGTGAAATCACTCATTGACACAGACATGGTGGCGTAGCAGGAAGATCGGTATGCCGTGAACCAAGAGATTGTGAGTTGAAATCCCAGGTGAGAATATGAATGACTGTATTTATAGTTTAATGAACACATGAGACAAGTTGAGCAAACACATTTTAAGTTGACAGAATTTTTGCATAAGTTTTCTCAAGTTGGAGCTAAGTTTGGGCCAACTATAAATGTTACGTTCAGGTAACACTGACTAAAAAATGCTGTGGAACTAGTTAATAATTAGTTAAAACAACTTGATTGTCCCCCACGATGAAATCGGAGAGGGGACTTTGGATCGGTCTCCTTCCTTCCGTCCGTTCGTCTGTCCTTTCGTTCGTACATTAGTCAAACGCGATATCTTAGACAGCACTGGCCCGATTTTGACAGAACTTGGGTGGATGATGTGTCTTGCCATAGAGATCAGGCATTTACAAAATTACACTGATTGGCCCAATGCGGGAGCTATAATAATTAACTGAAATGTGTGAGTCACATCAGTGAGGAAGAGGCGAAGCTAGAAGGATAACCGGGCCCAAAATCTATCTTCTTCAGCAGGTGTCGTTTTTTTTGTATTGTTTTCACTCACTAAGCTAGGAGTTGTTGTATGGAGGTCAATGAGAGAGTGTCAAATTTGGTTAACAAAAAATGGAATGGCTTATCTGCTACGTGTGGCTTATGTGATCGAATAGAAGTTTCATGGTACTTAGGTTGTTACGAATGTACTGACAAGTAGGACACGTGACATCCCAGCAACTTTGAGGAAAAACACTTTATATCGTAGTTGTGCTTCTTGTTCACACGCGTCTCTGCCCTCTCATTGGCTAGAATGGGCCCACCTGATCTTGCCTCCTCCCGACTGCCTTCTAGTCTGAGTACCAGTCTCTTTAGCTAACATTCCAGTCTTTGTCATTACCAAAGAGTCTTTGGCACATGACATGGAGTACAGGGAGTGGATTAGCTAAAGAGACTGGTACCCAGGCTAACAACCTTCCATTTTTGAAGACGTTTATTTTCATTGTCAGATCGGCCATTGTTAAAGTATCTGGTCAATATAATGGATAATCTGTGGTCAGACTGAAATGTGTTATTCACACGCAATATCTCAATTGGGGGGGGGGGGCTGCATCATTTGTGGGGGATGACATATTTACTGTTGCCTTGTTGCTTTTTTATGGTGTGCATGACTAAGACAAAAATTCTGACTTGAGGTGACCTTCCCACTGGGCACATACGTCAATTCAACGTCTAATCTACGTTGGTTCAACATAATTTCATTGAAATTACGTGGAAACAACATTGATTCAACCAGTGTGTGCCCAGTGGGTTGGCCCTAAAAAAGTATAAGGCTGATGCCAAATATCCCAATGTATAGAAGGGGGAAAAGAACACCACAGCACGTCGGTACTTTCACCCCGATCAAGTCCGACAGGCATTCTGTATGGACCACGCTAAAAGCAGACAGAACGGACCCCTGCTCCAGTAGAGTGCCTGATGGATACATAGTGTCAGAGCCTGAGGTAACAGAGCCCAGTTAGAGAAATGCTCTTCCAAGAGGATGTATTAGCCAGCTAGCCCCCACATCTGATTCTACCTAGGGGTCTTAATAACCAGCAATTGGGCTCCAGTCTTCTATCCAGGGGGTCATTTAGCAAGAATTAGCAACAAAAACCGAGGATCCCCACCTTATAGACACGGCCCGTGCAAAGAACTGCCTGAACTGAAATCAATGGGGAAGAAGAGAGAGAGAGAGATGGGTCTACATTTCCAGGTCTAATAATCCAGGGACTCGTCCTACTCATCCTCATTGACTCTTTGTGTTTCAACACAATAAACTGAGAGATAAGGTTTTAGGAGCACATGTTTGACCCTAAAGACCCAGAGAAAACGTTTCATTGACTGAATCTGCAACCGGCTAGGAACTGAACAACAGTTGGCAAGGTGGAGAGAAAATAAAAGATGATTATAGCCCCAATGAGTCAATGGACTGTAGCTAAAAAACACTTATGGAAATCCAATACCTATCTTTCAATAAGTCTGTGTTGTGTCAATATTGAGCCTGCATATACGTCCATCATTATTGAGGACATCTACAGCACCCGATGTCACAGGAAGACCAAAAAGATAATCAAGGACATCAACCACCCAAGCCATGGCCTGTTCACCCCGCTATCATCCAGAAGGTGAGGTCAGTACAGGTGCATCAAACCTGGGCCCGAGAGACTGAAAAACAGCTTATATCTCAAGGCCATCAGACTGTTAAATAGCCATCACTAGCCGGCCTCCACCCAGTACCCTGCCCTGAACTTAGTCACTGTCACTAGCCGGCTACCACACGTTTACTCAACCCTGCACCTTAGAGGCTGCTGCCCTATGTACATAGACATGGAATCACTGGTCACTTTAATAATGTAACACTGGTCACTTTAATAATGTTTACATACTGTTTAACTCATTTCATATGTGTATACTGTATTCTACTGTATTCTATTCAATGCAACTCCGACATTACTCGTCAAAATATTTATATATTTCTTTATTCCATTCTTTTACTTTGAAATGTGTGTATTGTTGTGAATTGTTAGATACTACTGCACTGTTGGAGCTAGGAACACAAGCATTTCGCTACACCCGCAATAACATCTGCTAAATATGTGTATGTGACCAATAACATTTGATTTGATTTGATTTATTGCCTGGCACATATAGACCTGTTGTTTATTATATCTCGAGGTGTGCCTAAAGTATCAAAGTCAATGATGCTGTCCATATAGCACCGCTAGGCATGTACTTGACACTATAAAGCAATTGACCCTTCGCTAAGCCCCGCCCCAGAATTTAGGTAAACCAATCGCAGCTCTCCAATGGATAGCAGCTGTCATCAAGTCCAACACCTCGATAAATTCAGATGAAAGCCAATGAGGGCTACTGCAAAAATGGAGCTTTAAAAAAATTAAAAGTATAATGTAAAGGCTAAATAATTGAACAGTGCACCAGGAGTACTTGCTACATTGATTCCTGAAATGCAAAAGCCTGTTGATGGATTATTTTTCAAATCCGAAATTATACTTTTGTTACATTGTTTGCTAGCTCAGCTCTTGACCACCAAAAGTTGCTAACACTAGCTAGCTAGCCACTTAATCTAACTTATTTTCTCAAAATATATCTTAGCTAGCAAAGTTAGCAACCTTATGAATACAACCCATCTGCTGTGGATCTGAACCTCACATAATGAACCATAATAATATGCCATTTAGCAGACGCTTTTATCCAAAGCGACTTAGTCACGCGTGCATACATTTTTACGTATGGGTGGTCCTGGGGATCGAACCCACTACCCTGGCGTTACAAGTGCCATGCTCTACCAATTGAGCTACAGAGGAGGACCATCACTCATCTGCCTGACACTGAACAGCCTTGTACTTCTACATATACAGAACACAGAAGTTCTGATTCCGTTTCAAGACCCCTGCCATTTGCATGCACGGCTGCGTAATTTCCAATCTGCATATTACAGCTCCATTGGCAGGCTAAATCACACTCTAGGGTGTATGAGCGAGCGTCATATTTTGGCTCGTAACGAATGGAGGGAAGGAGATGGTGAGCAGTTCATCGGCATTCAGCAGGCTCTGTAGTTTGCAGTATCTCAGCTGAAAAGACAACACTTGCTACGGGGCTGTCGCACAGACAGTAAAGTGGAAGCAATGCTCATTCAGGTCAGCAGCTCCTAGAGTTTGGGGAGTATAGGGGTGATGGGGCTTCAGTATCTCTCTGCACATGGCTGAGGAGCTCTGTCTCTTTCTCCCAAGTTACTTTTATCTCTCCCCTGTCCTCCCTGTTCGGGGAACAAAACGATATTGGGCTGGTGTGTGTGTGGAGGGAGGCAGAGGGAGACAGCCTGGCTGCATGGCACATAGTTTCTTCAGACATCTGGTTCTAATATCTCCTCTTGCACTTTCCCCTTCTCCCCCCGGTCCATCCCCTCCAGTCAGCCTTGCCATTGTTGTCAGTGCTCCGTGGGTTGACTGCTGCTCCACTCTGGCCTCTCAGTCTCCCAGCCAGCTGAGTATGTCTGCCAAGCACGCCAGCCAGACCACACCTGACTGAGCTTCAGCTCTGACTTCGGAGTTAATCGGTTTTCTATTCTTAATGTCAGTCGCTGGTGCTTTTTTCTTCACAAAGTGTTGTGAAAGTCTCCTGATTTATATCAAATGTATACAGCCACAGAGTTTCTTTGACATTCTTTCATGGTAGACTGAAGAACAATAGGATCACCTTGATCATCATCAGACACTGGAATAATTATAATTCATGGAATTGAGGCTAATTTCTAAATGTTTTTTTCTTTAGAAAGACAACAATGTTCTTGTGTGGATTCATTGTGATGATAATCAAATACGTGCTGCACCTAAATGTCTCCTGACATTCAAATGACAATGAATAGGATTCACTGTCAGCTACGCATTGTGTTTGACACAGCAATGAGGTTTTCTAGGGAAAAAATTATCCTAGCCTCTTGTAGTGTGTGTCGTACGTAGAAGCAGAGATCATTGGGATTAGGGATGAGCTTGCGGTGAACAAACACACAGGCATTATCTAGATAAGCCGAGGAGGATGACTCTTTGTTAAAACTGTTGGCTGAATCACAGCTAAACCCCATGCTCTCTGACCGCTTAGCTTATTGAGTTGGATCAAAAGATCCATGGAGCCTTCAGCTAGAGAGGTGGTTACAGCACTGGACTCAAATAACCTGGACAGCCTACACACAGTAACCTTGGGTGACCCATTCAGCTCAGCTCCATCCTTCACTACAGTCATGCAATGGATTACACGCAAAGGAAATGGTTTGGTTATACCACAATAGTCTTGTTCCTGTTAAATCACTTCAGTTGAATCAAAGTTACCTTTAGAATAGCATTCTCATGTAATGTAGGTGTTCCTCTTGTCCAGTTGGGAAAGGGCAGTGTGGAGTGCAATAGAGATTGCATCATCTGTGGATATGTTGGGGCGGTATGCAAATTGGAGTGGGTCTAGGGTTTCTGGGATAATGGTGTTGATGTGAGCCATGACCAGCCTTTCAAAGCACTTCATTGCTACAGACGTGAGTGCTACGGGTTGGTAGTCATTTAGGCAGGTTATCTTAGTGTTCTTGGGCACAGGGACTATGGTGGTCTGCTTGAAACATGTTGGTATTACAGACTCAGTCAGGGACATCACTTGGCAGTTGGTCAACGCATGCTCGGAGTACACGTCCTGGTAATCTGTCTGGCCCTGCGGCCTTGTGAATGTTGACCTTCTTAAAAGTCTTACTCACATCGGCTACGGAGAGCGTGATCACATAGTCATCCGGAACAGCTGATGCTCTCATGCATGCATGCAGTGTTGCTTGCCTCGAACCGAGCATAGAAGTGATTTAGCTCGTCTGGTAGGCTTGTGTCACTGGGCAGCTCACGGCAGTGCTTCCCTTTGTAATCTGTAATAGTTTTCAAGCCCTGCCACATCCGAAGAGCATCGTAGCCGGTGTAGTATGATTCAGTCTTAGTCCTTTATTGACTCTTTGCCTGTTTGATGGTTCGTCGGAGGGCATAGCGGGATTTCTTATAAGCGTCCGGGTTAGAGTCCCACTCCTTGAAAGCGGCATCTCTACCCTTTAGCTCAGTGCGGTTGTTGCCTGTAATCCATGGCTTCTGGTTGGGGTATGTACGTACGGTCACTGTGGGGACGACGTCATCGATGCACTTATTGATGAAGCCAGTGACTGATGTGGTGTACTCCTCAATGCTATCGGAAGTATCCTGGAACATATTCCAGTCTGTGCTAGCAAAACAGTCCTGTAACTTAGCATCTGCATCGTCTGACCACTTCCTTATTAACTGAGTCACTGGTGTGTCCTGCATTAGTTTTTGCTTATAAGCAGGAATCAGGAGGATAGAGTTATGGTCAGATTTGCCAAATGGAGGGCGAGGGAGAGCTTTGTACGCGTGTGTGTCATCGGATCGTCGTCACAGGAACTATCCAACCAGAACCATTTCAGAACCGTCCCTCTCACCCAAGCATTCATATTAGTGTGAAGCGGGACATAAAGAGGTACAAAGAGCCAATATAAAGACACATTTGCATCGGTGCTTCTCAATAGAAGCTCAAGAAGCAATCTGAGCCTGGGAACAAAAATAAAATAGGAATGAGGTAGTGCAAATCGGTACTGGCAAAACAGTTTATTTTTTATTTATTTTTATTTCTTCAGAACCTTTTCACTTGACAGTTTCAAAAAAGTTATTTACAATCTCTACTGTACTTCAAATGTCTCTATCGATAACACTGCTATATCTTGTTGCACAAATATTGTATATTTCCCGCACAGCAATGTTGATGTGTCATCGGATCGTCGTCGCAGGAACTATCCAACAGAACCATTTCAGAACCGTCGCTCTCACCCAAGGTTCCACAGTCAGAGGGGGCAGTCTGATTTCTGACTGTGACAAAACATTGGCTGACAGATCAAAGATACTCCACCATTTCCAAAACGCTGTGACCCTGAACATCTGCTCCAGCACTTGTGCAAATAGATAAATCTACGATCGCCTATGATCCCTACCCCTCAGCCAGATATAAGTGTGTACAGGGATAGTTATTATCTTTCCCATTGCTATAAACACAGGGATATCGAGGCGACTTGTTAATAGTGTTGTAAAGACATTGTCTTGCGGTTGGGCGTGATTGGGGGTTGAGGTTGCTATGTCAATAAAGAAAACTGACTATGCTGTCAGATGAGAGTTTCCGCCTCCTTCATAACCTTGAGAAGCGAACACTAGGCAAACTCTAGGTTCAAACTGCCAGTCGATGGCAATCCAAAAGGCTTGCGTGTAATCCTAGCCCTTGAGTAGAAATATCACCAGATAATATGAGTTGGCCACCCATCTGATGTGTCTTGTCTGGATGTGTGCTGTAGATCGAACCACAGATTTGGGGATATGAGGATTTGACATTTCGGTGGTTACAAAAGGAGTGATGTCTCATTTTACATTTTAGCAGACACCCTTATCCAGAGCAGCTTATAGGAACAATTAGGTTTAAGTGCCTTGTTCAAGGGCACATCGACAGATTTTCACCTAGTCCCCTCAGGGATTTGAACCAGCAACCGTTCGGCTACTTAACCTCTAGGCTACCCTGCTGGAAAACATTACCGTCTTTCTACAACATAATTTCTTATATCGCGTACATTAATTCAGAGCGAAATAAAACAAAAATGCACGATTGTAGCATTACGTGTACTGTATTCAGTAGCGGTGCATGGGTAAAATCACCGGGGAAGCCAACCCCCCCCCCCCCCCCAAAAAAAAGCCATATTACAACCTATGTGTTGTGATAATTGCGTTGTTTGTTCTATAACCTGTTAGATCATATGCCTTGCGACAGTGAAACAATAAGGCTGAAACAATAAGAAGACAGTGGCAGAATAAATTCAACCACACCTTCGTTTCATCACAAATCAGAAGAGCAATACCTGTCCAACGAAGTCCACAAAACATGTTGTCCAGTATGTAACAAACAGTTCCATGACCTACAGCATGGTCAAGCAAGTTAATGTTTCCGGCATTTTCAGACTACTAAACAACTATTGATTTAGAACACTGGAGAGTTACCGCAAGTTTCAAAGAAAACAGGTGCTGCCTCCACTATTCCAGCACCATTTCAACATCATCTAATCACCAACCTAAATATGTTGCTGTCGATGATACTGATTTATGTGTGTGTGTGTGTGTGTGTGCGTGCGTGGAAGTAGAAAAAACATGTTGACTCGATGCGCCAGGCCAGCTAGTTAACATTAGCCTAACGTTACTACATCTGTTGAACTTCCATCCTCTCAGGCCAGGGGCACAATGTATGAATTTATGGTTGGATCAGAATCACCGTTATAATCAGTACGGAGAATTAAGTAAAACCACAAGTCCAAATCCCTATCTCCATCCATGATTAATTTAGGAAAGGGCCACCAGAGGACAACAACACAACGAGATGCAACAATTCAAGTTTTCTGTCAATGATGAACTGGCTGCCCTTGACACTTTATTTTGGTGCACCAGGACCATTCACAGCTGAGCTCGCTCAGTTTAGCTCAACGCTGATTGGCTATTAAGTTTGTCATCAAGGGAGGCCAAATGCTGGCTTCCTTTGCATTCGATACTACTGGCGTCAACAATGTTATAGTCTTTTTGACCAGACAGCATACATGGGCTACACGTACAGAGACAGAGTGGCACTGTTTCGTTCGCATATATGCGTTCTCCGGTGAGATACATTCAGCCTCTTGCGAATTGAAGGACATTTATGAAACACAGAGAGATGAAAAATAAGTCATTTTGTATGTTTTTTCTTTTTTGGGGAAGTCTGGCTTCCCTTGGCATCCATGAATACACGCCACTGACTGACTGTATTACATACTGGAATAAGCATCTATGGTCGAATCTGACCTGTATTAAACGCTTTCACTGAGAGACATTCACAATCCATCATGATACTAGGCTCAGTCAATATATAGATTTATAGACAGAGAGCAAATGGTCATTATGTTTGTCAAGAGTGTACTGTTGTTGAACGGCTAAAGGGTACTGAAATCTCAGCACTAGAAAGTCAGCACTGACTGACAAGCATGAGAAAAAGCTCCACTCTGTGTGCGTTTCCACGTACATGCCGTACTTCAGGCACGCACAGACAAATAAATAATACAAACAGTGAAAATAAATGTTCACACAAAAATGAATATGCTCTGCATCCATTCCCATGCATATTCACACACGTATGCAAACACACACACACAGGAATGCACATACACACAGGCACTCACATACACACACACAAACATTGCACTGTACATAAAACAAACAGATGTGGATAGAGACAGATCCCTTGCAGTGAGAAGGGGATACATATTACCATCACCAGTGTTCTGCAGCAAAATATTTCCAACCTAGAATCAGAGCCCATTCCACAAGGTTCTAATTAGCAAACCAGGGGTAGAAAGAAACCCTGCTTAGCCCGTGAGGCCACAGGCAAGCGTTGATCAGAGAGAACTGGCATGTCTTTGTCCTCCCGAGTGGCGCAGTGGT